GTGCTCGTGTTGATGTTTGATGGCTTTAATAGTTATTGGTAGTCCCCATATCCCACCCCCAAGATCATCCCTGTTTGATTGAATGATTTCTCACGTTTGCAGCAACCAGTCTTCCTCAAAACAAACCACACACACAACTTGAGCCTTTTGGAGCAGTGAGATAGATCTTCGGGACAATGGGTTCAGACAAACGGTACGTAAGTACAGTACGGGGTTTTAATAGCAACCTATCTGGGAGGACTGAGTCGTTCCTCAAAGATAGTTGAGCATACTTTGTGCCGGGCATCGCATCGCTAGCCTTCATAAAGATCACTGCTCTCCCCGACTTGCTGCTCAGGGAGACAATGAAAGGTACTTGTGGGAGATTTGGGGTGCTAATGGAAGACACAGGAAGCATTTGGTTTGTTTTAGAAATGGGCAGGGAAGCTTCTTTGAGAGCAAGCCTGAAGAAAAAGTAAAAATTGGGCAAAGGAAGGAGTGGGATGGAGCAGGCTCCTGAGGGTTCCTGGTGTGAGCAGCAGCCTGTGCAGGAGCCAGTAAGGAAAGCTCACAGGGCCTCCCCACTCTTGGCCAGTGCAGATTCAGCTTGTGTGTCTGAGAAGTCACATGGGAGGGAAAGTTCGGAGGAGTGGGTGGGTGGATGGGCTACCATGTAGCCTTTGGACAGTCCTCCTCGGACCATTTGATTTAAACCTACAACTTTTACCATACCCGTCTAGCCCCCTGCTCCCTCAGCATGAGCACCCATGTTTGTGACAAATCAAATGGGTGGCCCATAGTTGAGAAACGCCTGGGTCATCTGGCGTCAGTGTTTTAATTCCATACCAACAGTCTATGGCTCCAAATTATTAATGTTTGCCCTGTCACCTCATGTCATCAGTTGGCCCTAAACTACTTGTCCCCTGGTTTTCTTATCATATTTTTGCCCCATAAAAATGGCCCTTAGATTGATGAGGGCAACAGGTGTACATATGTGCTTGACTCAATGGATGTATATATGAACTGTGATAAGAATTGTACGAGCCCTCAATAAAATGATTTTTTAAAAAGAAATGCGGAAAAAAAATGTACATATGTGCTTGCCACAATGGTGTATGTATGGATTGTGATAAGAATTGTATAAGCCCCCAATAAAATGATCTGGGGGGAAATGAAGGGGAAAAAAACAATATTAAAAAATGGCCCTTGTAGATACTTTCTTTGTCTCCTGGGGTCGTTTTATGAACCAGATTAACGACTTATGAACTATTCTGTCATAAAATGGGTTTAAACCTCTTGTTAGTAGATTTTTGACTGAGTATACAATTATGTCAAAAAGGCGATTGATCCATTTGTTGATCTGTTTCCCGGTAGACATAACTCTTAAGAGTGACTGAGCCTGCATGCGTTATATTTCAAAATTGAGTGGAATCCAAGTAATTGCTTCCTCACTATCTTTGGTCACTTAAAACGTGAATCAAGAAGTGAAAGGGGAGCTAGGTAGACCACCAGCTTGGGGAAATGCAAGAATAAACTTGAACAGCTTGCCTCGTCCTCAAAAGAAAGTTGTAAACCCTGTGAGTTATGTGTGCATTAAAGACGCAGGTGTTTGTCGCAGTGTTGGTCTCTGTCGCCTGGACTTGATTCTAAAGGGTAAGGAGTGCCGTCCATGCTGGGTGTATCTTGGAGAGCGAGCCGTGGTATCAGTGTGTGGCCTGGCGCTCTGAAATCCCCAGATGTAGTTGGCGTTGGTGTGAATGGGCGTGCTTCCCTTGGCAGAGTAAGCAGAACCGAGCGGAGCGGGAGGTACGGCTCCATCATCGACAGAGACGAGCGCGATGAGCGGGAATCCAGAAGCCGGCGGAGGGACTCGGACTACAAAAGGTCCAGTGACGACCGAAGAGGTGATAGGTACGACGACTACCGAGACTATGACAGTCCAGAGGTGAGTGCCGAGTCGGCCCCTGCCATCGTTGGGGTCATGAGCTGCATGCGCAAGACTTGCCGGCCTTCTCGAAATAAATGTAGCAAACATGGAGCTCGATTGCCCTTCTGCAGACAGCTCCTAGGTGCAGTTGACTTGAGCAAGTGACCCCTGTGGACAATTCTACTCAAGCCCACCATTATAATTTTGAAATCTATTTGATTAGCTGTAAGCCCCAAGGGAGGGTTGAG